ACTTATTAACCAACAAAGTTGAATTGTAGAAAATAGAAGATATAAGAATTAATAAAGATTGCTAGGTTAAATTAATTGGCCCATAGGAAGAGAGTTCAACAATAGTGTAACGACCAAAATGAGAACAAGGAAAAAGGAAATGTGCTACCATTCTGAGAATGACATAGAGATCAAGGATAATCTGTATTAGATCCAAAACTGTGTAATCTTTGTTTTTCTATCATCACTGAGAGATGATGATGTTAAATATTAGGAAAAGGGTTAAGAGAACTGCAGGTATGGAAATTGAGTTTATCACTGCTGTTGAGTGAGTTATTGTGCTCAAGTTGGGATAATGGTTGCCTCTATCCAAAATTCCAAAAGAGCTCCAAACTAAAATTGCAGAACTGTTAGTAAAGTGCTTTAATAAATCCTATGAGGCTCTGGGTGATCTGATTTGACAATTAGCGGAGGCAGCACCTACATTTAGAAAACAAACAAACAAGAAGTAATCCTGACAGTTATACACCAGTTAGTATTTATTTTGAATCTTAAGAGTAAATTTGGAAGGAAAATACTTAAAGCGAGAATCTATCAGCAGTAGATTGAAGAACACTGTTCACTCAAGTGAATTCATGCAAGAATTCTTAGACACAATAGACAAGGAAACTTGTTATGTATAAGCTGACAAAAAAGTAGAGTTTCTGATCTGGTACCACATGGAAAATTATTAATTAAAAAGATGGAGCTTGTGTATGCTGTTATTTTACAAGCAGGCACAAGCTTAGTATAGGAAATCCTCTTGCTATTAACTGGGTTCAGCTAGCATCCCTTGTTTGGAAGGATGGGCAAGTTGAGCTCCATCTGCAAAATATCATGCACCCATGAAGGTGGTGAGAGATTACTTAAAGGCAATAAGGAACTAGTCAGCAGAAAGGCAACAGCAAACGGCTTTGAAAGGAGTAGTGTTAAAGTCCAAGGATTTCTGCTGTGCAGTTTCTACATAGTTTCTCACCAGTTGGTGCTGAACCAATTTCCTTTAATGTTTTCATTAGTAACATTTGGTATGAAGAACAGAAGTGTACTAATGAAATAGCTTGATGCTGCAGAGCTAGGAGATGTTACTAGTATAAAGTAAGTTCAGGCTGTCTTGCAGAATTATTGGAATGGTCTCAAGTACTGGAGAAAAAGAAAATAACTGTGGATGATGTTCAGTGGCACCAAGAATTTTTACTATTGGCTGGATCGTACCAGTGGACAGGCAGACAGATCATATAGAATGGTGACTGTGAGCAAAAGGAGTGCAAGAACATATCAGGTGAACTGTGTCCATTGGAGTTAGGTAGCACTGTCACCAGTGCATGCATGAGAGATAGGTTTAGAAAGACTGAGGGACTGGAGAGCCTACTGACTGAGACATAAGCTGAGAAGAAGCTACGTTTAACCCACATAATGAAGAAAATGTATATTCTGTCTGTAAATATATAAAGGTGAAAATATAAATGCTCCCTATAAGTGCATGAGAAGAGACCATCAGTAAGACAGTCATACTATTAAATTTTTCTACTCGGGTTCATTGAACATTTTTTCCTTCTGTTGGCTGCAGAAAAACATTGTAAAAGTCATCTTCCATCCATAGGAAGTCTGACAACGTACACATTCAATATTTTTTTAATTAATAATTTTCCATGTGGCACCACATCAGAAGCTTTAGATCTGTGTCAGCTTACATATAGCAAGTTTCAATTTAGATTAGAGTTTAGGGTGCTTGTGTTTGCCCTTGGGGAGTAGGAAAAGGATAAAAACTCTCTTTTCCATTGCTTTAGTTTGCATATAGGATTGTGCTTTAAATATTTTCAAATAAAAGCAACAGCAGTGAGATCACTAATGGCGTTTTCTTATTCAAGACATGACTATTTTATGTTTCATATGTAGCAATTAACTTTTAGATCTAATTTAATTTGAAAATACAGGTTTTCTATAAGTAACTATTAAAATGCAAAATGGGAAAACTGTGGAAACAAGGATACTGTTTTTCTTTTGACAGAAATTGGGCTGGGAGGCAGAGAAAAGAGAAGGATTTATCCATATTAAACCATATATGAAAGCTTTAGAATTTGCAGTCAAACAAAAGTTCTGAGAAAGAGACCATATCCAAATACTGTTTCTGAGTTTAACAGAAACTTCACTGAGAGCGTCCCATATACCAAGGTGGTGACCAACTTCACCACTAAGTGGGTTTTTTTTAGGGAAAACCTCCACCAGAGGAATCTGAGTGTAATTCTTTTGGTTGTCAGTGCTCCTTCTTTCCCCTACTTTCAAAATAATCATCATCATCATCATCATCATCAAAACTGATACATTTTGGTGAGAAGTTCTGATTTCCACATTGTGACATTTTCCAAAGAAATAATATTTTGTTTAAAAGTTCCCATAAAGCTATTGTTATTACTGGAGGTGAGGTCATATAGGACTTCTGCCATGTGCACTGTGGATGGATTTCAATATACATTATAGAAGTCCTCAAATATTTTAGAGTTGTGCAAGTGCCATTGTTGTAGTTAGCAGTTAGCATAACGTTGTTATGTGTGTTGTTCTGCTTTCCTCCTCCTAGTAAGGATACTTCAGTCATTTGTTTGTGTTCACCACTCTTCAGGCTGTGAATGATGGCCATTATGTTGCATGCTATCATACTGTGCACCAAAACACCTGTGCTGGAATTTTCGTTGATCTCATTTAGCTCCCTAGTATCAACGCACTCAGGTTAGCAAATGCCTTATTTTCTTCCTTTTTTTAGGTGTTTTTTGGTATTGCTTTCTTCTTTAATCTTTAATGCAGAGCACCTGATTCTCTACTGTTAATTTTGCTGGCATAAATTAGATGAGAACCCAGTCAAAACAGTACAGTTTGTCTGATGAAAGTGGACATAAATAAGAGTCTTCAGACTCCAATGCCTTCTGACTTTTGTCCTGAAAAGTGAGTGGAACATGAGATGTATTTTTTATGATAGTTCTCCAAAGAGACTAGCCGTTAATCTCCCTGTGAGTAGGTGTGTCAGCTGCAAACATTTCCTTCCAGTCTCCCATTTCAATCACACTTCACAGTACACTGAAAATTGGCAAGGATTTTAATTATTGGCCTCTAGAACAAACCACCTACTTTGATTCAAGCATGTTTTCCAATTTTTAAGAATGTTGTTTCACCTACAGTACAGTATAATTATAGAAAATAGCTTGGTTTGGCTGACATTCCTGTGTTCTGTGCGTTCTGCTTGCAAGGCAGCAAGCAGCACCAGGCAAGCAGCTCACCTGCAGAGGATTTTAACCTCTTGCTGGCAGAGTTAGGGCTTGCCAGCATCCAGTACATTGTTTTTGATATCAGAAGCTCTATACTACTGTCACTTGAAGGTTAAACATTAACGCTTTTTGCCTTTCAAGCTGCAGGAATGCTCTATACAGTAAGAAAGTTTGTTTTTATTCTCCAGGGAGCCCTCTGTTAAAATTTTATGTATGTCTGTTACAGGAGCAGCTGCAGCATTGGGTCCTGAACCCCAGTGACACAAAGTCCTGGGCACAGCGTGATCCTCTGGTCAGCACAGTGCTGACTGGCTGTGTGGCTGCCTTTGCGCAGAGCAGCGCTCAGTAAAATCTGCCAGTAGTCAGCCATGTATCCAGGACATGATTAATCAGCCAGCAGGATAAATTGTCTATAGCTGACTGGGAGTTGACAGTAAACAGTAAAACACCTGCGTTGAAGACTTACAGTCTTAACAGACAATCAGGAAACAGAAGCAAGCATGAGCCCTGTTTCAAGAGAGAGACTGTGAGGCACAGACTGATTTGCTGATGATTATGCAGTGAGTCTGGCAGAGCTCAGAGCTGAATTCTCTGCCATTCCCTTAGTGTGTTCGTAGCTCATGTAACAAGTCTTTAATTTACCAAGAAACTGTTCCGCAACACTGTCCTGAGAAGTTGGCAGAATTCACCTCAGCATTTCTCTCACACGTACCCCTTGGTTTGAGGCTCTACAATTTGTACAACTAATAACTTACACCATGAATTAGAAACATTGGAAACCAGCCCAACGCTCAGGCTCGTGTGTCAAGGAATTGCTGTGCAAGCCCAGTCTTATTTGTTGTTACAACAATTAATCATCCAATGATTATCAGGTAATTTATATGGTATCTGGGCCCTCAAGGGAGTTCTGCAGTGCTATTGAAATTGGACATTTTAAAATTAATGGTGATTAAGCTGTAAAGCCTTATTAAATATGCACGAGTGCTATTTCTCCTTCCTCCTCGCTACCCGTAGCGCCATGTTGGGGCTGGCTGCCTTCCTGACCTACCAGCCACGCACCGCAGTCTCCACCATGGCTGTGAGTCACAGGCTGCTCAGCTCCACGCCAGCAAACAAAGGCAGGGGAACATCCGGGATGATGCACAGGTGGGAGATGGCAGTGGCTGCTCAGGGAGTCCCTCACCCCACTATAAACCAGGTTCTGGATGGGATTGCAGCCAGCTCCTGGGGCAATTCAGCACTGCCGGTCACAGCAGACTTCACCAGGAACGTCAGATGGCTCTTAGGGCAGGAGCTGCAACATGGCCACATGCTGGCCAAGGGGTGCACATCAGTAGCTGAAGATTGAGTCCTTTGTTTCACTCAGTACAGAGTGTGTCGCTTACAGAATTTTGCAGTGAGAATGTTATGTAACTGTGACACGTGTTTCTTGAGAAACACTTGGCTCAACTGAGTATGGCTAACCTTACCCATTCAAAAAGTTTACTGTGTATGCAAAGGAAACCCTTCAAAACATCATCCTGCTGTGAAAAGGAATTAGAGACAGTTATAATGCTACAAGAAATAAATATTTTTTCTAAAAATGGCATAGGCAATGTTATGGAATAGTATAACTAAGTACTTGTCTTACAATAAAACGAATGAAATGAATGCATGATTGCAGTGTTTTCAAGGAGTTATAGATATTCTGAATAAATTGTTTATCCTTTGCTTACCATTCTGCAGGCAGAAATGATAGCCCTGCAACAAGAAAAAGAAGCCACTCTTCAGCAGTGCAGAAAGTTAGAAGAAGAAATCCAGAGATTGCGTGTACATTACAGGTAAAATAATTAATACCAAAACAAGTCAGTGACTCATAGGGGAAATTTTCTGTATGGTGTCTGACTCTAAGTAAGGAAATAGCTTTATCAAGTAGGTATTTGTTGGAAATGTGAATACATCAATGAATCAAAGCTGCATTTCTGCTTTGCTGCTCGCCAACCACCTCTTTGAAATAGAAATCCTTCTCTTGTAACCTAAATATTGTATTAGTTTCTTCTAAGAGAAGGGGAAGGTTGCTGGCAGTTAATTCTCATAAGAATGAAAAACCTGTCTAATAATGATTCATTCACTTAAAAATACCAGGGTAAAAGAACCAGTAGTCATAAACGCTTATTCCTTCCCTGTTTGCACATACATACATAACCTTATCAACGTAGATTTTAAAATAATCAGTAATTTTTAAAGCCTGTTTTCTAACTTCCAACATCATGTATGTGTTTTAATCCCTTATGTTCTGTAGCAGTACATAGAATAAGAGAAATAGCCATTCTCTCATTAATTTAGGTGGGCTGCACTGAACATTTGCATGGATCAGTGGATGGCAATCCCTAAGGAAGAGCTCTGTGTGGTCCAGTGAAGGAGTTAGGTTGTTTTATGGAGTGATGTTGGGTTACAGCTCTCATTTCATCCTGACCTCCTATGTGAGAGGGGATACAGAGCTGCCAGCAGGTTAGAGGCAGGAGAATTGGCATCAACACAGCAGAAAATTGTGAATCTGAAGGCTGAATGTCTGTGATGAGGGATGTGGGCTGCAGAGGTAAATAATAAATGTAGTGTGAATATTACGTTCATTGGAAATAAAGGGAACTAGTTAGTTATAACTAAAAAAAAAAGCAGTTGCAGAACTGTGTTTTCAGTGTTTCAGCATTTACAAGTGAAAAATACTCAGGTTTCCAGAGGTTTTTAGAGTTTCCCCTTCTCATTAAGTTTATTAAAACCTGGGAGGGAAGTTTCAAAAACAACTTCTGTTCCTAAATCTCACAGGCATTTATTTAAAACCTGTTAATAGTGAATAGAAACCCCAAGCAATTTGTGATTATTGCTTTTAATGAATTTGGTCAGCATTTAGTGTGTGCACAAATTATGGTATGATTTACCAAGCTAGAAAGAATTTATTATAGTGCCCTTATTACTCACTTAAATGGGATTTGTAGAATAATTTTAAAAGAGAAATGCAATTTTTATATTGATATTTCAGAAATAAAGACTTTGCTTGTGTTGATCTGCACATCGTAGAGGATTTTTCATTGACTTTTGAGTTTGACAGTTGAGATATTACAGCAAGCCTGAGACTATATTTAACAAATGCAGTAGACAGCAGCTGCAATTTACTCTTGTAAATAATTTAAATCTCAGAAAATAATAATGACTTGCAGGAATCACCATTAGAATGTAGCATGTTAATATCTTTTGGCTCTTACTTTGAACAAGCAGAATTTCATTGTAAATTTGGTTATGATCTTCTACAGGATTTACTTATAAGTTGTGACAGTAGTCACCTGAATATCCTTTGGGACAAGAATGTTTTTTCATTACTTAGTTATTCAAGTTACATGATAATTCAGAACATCAGAAATGATTTTCTCTCTTTTGTCACTGTCCTTAGGGAGTCACTGAGTAGTTCCCATACCAAGTAAGACAGATGAAGATAAGAATATATGGCATGTATGTGAAAAACCATATCAGACCAATACAGGATTGGTCACAAAAACCATAAATAACAAAGCAATGTATTTTCTCAGGCCATCTCAAATGAGTGAAAACTTATTCTCTGTTTTGTATATTGGTCATTTCCAACAATGGACTTGATACCAAGTTCAGAGTAACCTGGGCTAATGAAGTAGAAGACTGCTAGCTTGAAGAGAAGTTTTGAGAAAAATAGGAGCAGGATTTGCAAGATCCAAACCAAAGTTAAAATGAAAATGAACTTTGAGGGAATACATCATGAAATACTGATTTTCATATGAATTCTGACTTTTTTTAAAGAGAGACCAGGTCCCAGAACTATTACAATCTTCTTTGAAGAGAATGACAAATAAAAATGAGGGAAAAGAAAAGGTGGAGGAATCTAATTCAGATAGAGAAGGGAGAGGAAGTTGGCTCACAGTAAAGTTGGGCAAGTTCAGCACTTCTGTTTACTCCTCCTATATTGTTCCTATGTCATGTCTCAAAAGGAAAGTTGAATTTTCTGGAATGTAACCTGAAAATGCTTATCAGAAATGAAAATTTGCATAACAGTTAGGAACCGTATAGAGTTTCTAGCTTACTAGGGTAATTGTTTCACCACAATGCTCTTTAAGCTGGGGATTAATGCAGATCATAATCATCAGTGACCGAAAGAGGCTATATCCAAATAATCAGTTTTGAATTGTGTGGGAGTGTTAATCCCACTGCCACTTTCTCACATATTTCTGTTGTTTGAATGTCATCATAAGTATTTCATTTGCATAGTTTTCAGTTATGGACTACCTGTTTCTATAATCAGTTTCCTTCTATTTCAGTAATGCTTCAGAAGTGTACTTCTCCAACATATAAAATGCTGGCATAGACATATGCTGTTGCATACTGATTATTTTTTCACATATTAGATACAGCAGTATGACTGTGAATGAGGACTATATTTCTATAGAGGGAAGTACATATATATTTTTCCAAATTTAATAAATAAATAAATAAATAAATAAAATACTTCACTCAAAAGCTCTGGGACTGGGAGTTTTCATAGATAAATAATTTGAACAGATTATAAGTAGTAGAACAAAATGATGTCTCTGACTTTGAATTGGATTTAACCTCAATTGCCAAGAAAGATGAGAGCAAAATATAAATATAGGACTATCTCTGCTTAGAAGTATGTTTTTGTAGGTTTCATGTTGGGGTCAGATGTAGGTTGCTCAGATCAGAAAAACTGTAATTTTTTGCTCCACAGCTGTATAAGAAATGCACACTTGTGTTTACACACCTTTGCGTGAAACTGCTAAAGAACATAATGCTTATGTCCAGCAATAGGAGTTAATTAGGGCTGTAAGGTAGAATTTAAGAATGCTATTAGGAGTGTGAGTAGTTATTTCAATGATAGGTATGAGTTTCATTTGTGATTTAATCAAGCACTTAAAAGCCATATATTTACCAAGTCTAAGTTCACAGGGGAGGAGGGACAGGAAGAACTTTGGAAAAAATATTTACCCAGAGCTTCTTCCAGTTTGCTGTTGAAATGTGTAAGATGCAGTAATAGCTACAGGTTGGAAGTTACAATAGGAAGAAACTTACATTTATTGCAGCAAGTTTCCTATTGAATGGGCATTTCTTTCTAACTTGCAATGTTAAAATGAAATCATAATTTGTCTTGTGAAAAATTGAAGTTTTAAGGGTAGATGCAAGTCTCGGGAGTTGCATGTAGAAGGGTAATTAGAATTGATTAGGTATAACCAGCATGAAAGAAAACTATTTTTATTTTACAATTATGTGACAATTTTCGATAATGAGATAGAAGTCAAACTTCAGTGAGATCCCTTGTAATAGTGAGTAGTATGATCTGAAATAAATACTTTCAGAATCAGGCATTCAGTCAGTATGGGCAGCTGTTCTTGCTACCTAACCAGTTGTATCACTTTTAGAAGTTATAAACTATTGAAGAGATTTAATAAGATTTCAATCCAAAAGCTGCTGGTGCTTTGGCTCCTTCAGTTAGCCTAGAATTCATGATTTAAGTAGCACAAGCAAAGAGTTGAAAAAACAATTGATTTTGCAGAGGTATGTAGATTTTTCTCACAAAGTGTGTCGTAAACTGATGTGCGGGTTGATCTTTTTAGAGATGGAAATTGATAGAGTTGAAAGAGAATTGAGAGGTTTTTATGATTTCCTCAGATAAAAGACATATAAACACAAACTCAATTTTCATTTTAATTACAGTAGTAAATCAGCATATAACAGGAGAAATAAATGAAGAAGGCTGCTTTGCAAGGCAATATCTGCACTTCTGGTGAAAAAAAAAAAAAGGCTGTATCCTATTCTAGTTCTGAATACAGTGGTGCGTGTTTAATTTATTTCCATTCTATAGATTCCTGGCCAATTTAATGGATTATAGTGCTTAAATGATGCCATTTTAGAATCAAAGAATCATAGAATGGCCTGGGTTGAAAAGGACCTCAAAGATCATCTAGTTTCAACCCCCCCCCATTGTAGACAGGGTTGCCAACCAGCAGACCAGGCTGCCCAGAGCTACATCCAGCCTGGCCTTGAATGCCTTCAGGGATGGGGCATCCACAGCCTCTCTTTTGCACTTTTCCATGGGTTCTGCACATGGATAGTTAGTGACATAATAATTACTATTATACTGTCTTCTTGTTCAGGTAATAAGGTCTGTTATAAGCTGTTATAAAATATTCTACCTAACACCAGTAATCATTCTTTTATATTCAGAATTCAGCTTCACAGGCACTGTGGTGGCAAGTCAGAATACAACTGCCTATTTAGTCTTCAAATGACCCCTGCACAAATATTTCAGCCTCTTTGTTTTGCCACCTCTTTTTCAGAGATTCATCCAGGCCGGATTTATCTCATGCTTACAGGATGTGTAGCAGGAAATGGGGCTGCTCTACTGCCCAGCTTCCCACTCCAAATGAACTGAAACCCATTCACACTGGGATGAGTGAGGCTGCAGCAGTTAGCTCAGAGTAGTGATCTCAGTTCTTCCACTGCAGCTGAAGCAGGATACCTTGAGCACCTGCCACTGCAGCTTACCTCGAAGAACTGCTCTTTTCATTGCTAGTCTTCATCTCATTTTTTCAGTTACATTAGTTGACTCATTTTCCTGCTCTTTTCAACCTGTCTGCTCAGTGTTATTCTGGCACTGTAGTCTCAGTGTTAGTTGATTCAGACATCATAATGTGACTAGCTGTAGTCATTAAGAAGAGTGTTGTTTTTACAGAGGAATTTTGGGGTGATCAGAGGAGATGATGATAGTTGTGTTTGCAGTATTCTGTGTGCAGCAATAACT